AATTGAACATGATATATTTTTATATAAATTATATTGAAGTAAAATTTTAATATATTTTTTAAATAAATTATGTAAAATTTAATATTAATTAAAATTAAAATAATACATGATATATTTAAATAATAAAATAATATATTATCGATTAATTTTTATATAAAGTATAGAACAAGGTCAATTTGGTAAAATATACATTACGGTAATCTTTTATTCCTTCAACCAAACATTGTAATCTTACATTACTGCCAAACAAACCAAACACAGTAATGTAACATTCCCAGTAATGTGTTAGGTAATGTTACATTCCGATAATCCTATTCCCACTGGTAATCTTATATTCCGTGAACTAAATGTACCATAATTGGTTTAGGGTTAGTAGATTGCATTAGTTTCAAAGGACATCATTTAGATCAATATCATATATATACATTTTGGACAATCATAAGTAAAATATATTAGTGAGTGATACAAATACAAATTTGAATAACATAGTTTCAAATCTGCAATCTCGAATATATGATAATCGTTTCAAATATGCAATCTCGAATATATGATAATTGTAGGAGCGAACTACAAGTGAGAATCGTTGTAATCCGTTTTAGTATCTAAACTATCATTCATAAGAATACACATGTATGTTCGAAGCATGAAAAGAAGGTTTAAATTATAGGGTAAGCTACGTATTTAGTATCTAAATTATACGGTTTAAGAACACTATAGCCCTACAAGTCACATGCAGGTGGATCAAAGTATCCCAACCATAGCATTGTAAAATCTCAAATTTCCTTTTTCCTCTTCTTATATCCATATTTAAATATTAAAAATATAGGATAAGAACCACTTGTATTTAATACATTGGCTGACTATTTTTTAAATTCGTAATCAACGTGACTTTAAATTAAATAATGAAAAAAAAATATTTAAATTGAATTATAAAAAATAATTTGATCAAATACAATAATTGATTAAAAAACATGTATTCTGTTGGAACTATTAGTATATATAATAAGGAAAATTCTGAAATGGATGTCAAATATTGATATCCCCACTAATTTTATAAGGTAAAACTTACAAATGGACATTAAACTATATCAAAAATGATATTTTTGGACACCAAATTCGCTGAACTTATATAATAGACAATAAATTATAGATTATGTTAAAGAATGGTTGCAACACCATTATCTATAATTAAAGAAGTGAAGTGGCATGTGAAATTAAAAAAAAACCTTATTTGTTCCTTTAATTATAACTAAAATTTCACTTTTATAAATTAAATATTATATTTTATGTCATATTATAAATATTGAATTTAGGCTTAAATATATAAAAGGTGCTCAACGTATGCCTTTGGTCCTAGTTTAGTGCCTAACGTTTATTTCGTTTCAGTTTGGTACCTAACGTTTCATTCCATAACTTAAATTGGGCCAAGTCGTGACAGACCATTAAGTTTGGTCGTTAAGTGACACATGTCACAACCTGATAATTTTTGTTATGACTTAAATTTGAAAATGAATTAAATTTTTTAAGGAATTATGATTTTTAAATTTGAAAATGAATTGTTTATATATATATAAAGAATTCTAATTTCTCATTTTCTTTTTTAGATTATTACTAAAAAATATTGAAAAAAATATGAAAATAAAATTTTTGTTATGACTTAGGGGCCAAATAAAATATTTTTTATTTACTCCCTTAAAAATATTTCACGACTAATACTTATATTTTAAATAAAATTTAAAGTTTAATATTCATTTTATAACTTTTAAAAATTCAACGGTAAAATGATGATTTTAATAAATTTAATAACTATTTATAAATTTTATCATATTTTTATATTAATAATGCATATTGCACATCATTAATAGTTTATATCGGTATGTGTCAGTTACTCTAAACTTATCCATATAATAATTCTAAAAAGTAATAAAAAAATCCTTTATAACTCATCATATTTAGTTAAAAAGTTGGTAAAGTTCTTTGGAGTGGGAAATGCTTTGATAATTTTTTATTAATTATTAATTAATTTCTTAACGAACAGCGAATCTTTTGCTTGAAGACTGCTTATTAAATGATGGTTCGTGTGGACAATGACCATTTATGTTGCTTTATCTTTGTTAGCTTTAAGTCAACAAATACTAATTAATAATAGTCTTTACTCTTTGGTATATATTATCATGGGTTTTTTTAATTATTAAATCTGCTTTATTCCTTTTGTTTTTTTTCCACAAATTTGAAAGAAAAATTAATTAAGTCAATAATTTTATCAACTAACAGTTAGTCAATAATATAAATAATTTAAATTATAAGATCTCGAGAACCCTAAAACTTCGATCATATTAACTCAGTCAAGATTTCAATGATAACAAAAAATATTTTTTTATTGAGTTAATATGATTATAAAGTAGTATCTGTTCTAACTATTTTTTCACTCATTTAACAATTGACGCTCAATCACCATGCTGCAATCGTTGGTGCTCGAACCCATAAACTCTAGGAAAAATAAAGATTCATTTAACCACTTAGATAAGTTGATTCATACATGTAAACAAATCTTTTATAATAATAATAATAATGAGTTATGATGTATTGATAGCATTTTTAAAGCTAAAGAATCCAATGTTTTTGTCCACAAATTCTTCCACAAGAAGTAGGTGTTCTTTTATTTACATAACAATAACATTTATGTAAATAAAAGAGGTTGAATGAGTATATTGACTTTCCATAGGGTTTAAGTTGTTCTCCATAAGTCATAATAATAATAATAATTTTTTTTCATATAAATAATTTATGCACTTTTCTTTTTATAATTTATTTATTTATTTAACCAATGAAAATAAATAAATAAATATTAAAGTATAGGGAAGAAAAATTATCTTGGGTGCATGACATTTGCGTCGGACATGCAACCAATTGCATTCATTATTAAAATACTTAAAGGGTAAGCCACACTAATAGTCAATGAGCTTAAGGAATGCTTTAGTTTTGGTCACTGCCGTTACGGCAGTTGATAATAGTGGCGGAAATGAAAACATTCTTAAAGTACGGAGACTAATAAAATTTTTCGATTTTAATGACTAAAATACAAGCACCTTAAAAGTGTAATGACCATTGCTATAGTTTACCCATAATTAAAAAATTCTACCGTATTAGAAAAACTTATAAGTTTAATTTTGATAGTTTACTTATTCTCTCTGCCTAGATTCTCACTCTGAATTCTTGCATTTCATTGGCTCAACAATATTAATAAAAAAAAATTATATTTTTATAAATAAATTATATAGTTATTTTTTGGCAAAAAGACATCGTAGGTCCCTATACTTTAGGAAAAAAACTAATGCGGTCCTTTTATTATTTTATCTCTCAATGTGGCCCTCAAACTCATAAAACAAATCCAACGTGGCCCTTTGACCCACATTTTTTCGTAGTTTGACTGTTACGGTGGTGACATGGCTATCCACAGTGCTGACATGGCGATTCACGGTACTAACGTGACGATTCACGGTACTGACGTGACGATTCACGGTACTAACATGGCAGTCCATCTACCATGTTTGAGTTGTCAATTTAGCTCATCTGTCATGTTATCCGCCACGTTATCAACCATCGTGAAATGTCACGTCAATTTCGTGGATCTTCATGTTAATACCGTAAATTGACACGTCAACATTGTAACGATTAACGACGAAAAACATTGATCAAAGGGACATAATAGACTTATTTTCTGATTTGGAATGCCACATTGATAGGAAAAAAATAAAACGAGGGCCACGTTGATTTTTTAAAAAAGTACAGGTACATCTGAGGACTTTTTGCCCTTTTTTCATCTCAATTTATTTTAATTAGTTATTCTTATTTACCAATAATTTTGTCTATCACTATAATATTCACTCTATCTCTCTATATAATTTCTTATGATGGACATCTTCTTCAATTTATATTCAACATCAATATCCCTCTAATTTAGTCTTAATTAAATAAAATTTTATTCTTAAAATCTAATAAAATCTTAAGATTTTAAGATGATTTTTATATAAACATAAATACCAAAGCAGTTAACCTCACTGAAAAAACTGAAATATTAATTAAAAAAGTTAGATTTATAAAATAACTCATTCTTTTCATCCAAAGGTTTCCCATTTAGTTCTTGGAAGACTTCTTCAAACCAAGTTTTACTTCATCTCTGATTCTCTAATCCTAAGTTTTCTTTTATTGACTGTAAACTGGGAATTCAATTCTTAAAGCCAAAGTGTAGGTTCAGGTTCAAGTTTAGTTTCTTAGTATATAGGTGTGTCAGGTTCCTGACACACCATTTTCATCTTATTTTCTTTCTCTATTCTATGTTATGTCAGTCACGTAATGAGCTAAATTATCTGATTTTCTCTTCCTTTTTTTTCACTTTCCTTTCCTGGAAAATTTCCAGCTTTACCTTCAAGTTCACCCCTCCTCAAGCTTTGTTTTTTCTTTACCTTTTGAACCCTTCACTGGTGGGGTTGGGTGACTTCAAAACAAACACAAATTTCATCAAATTTTACTCTCTTTTTTCCCATTTTGGATTTTGGAATTTGGAAAATAATTTTTTGTTAATTGGATAGTTCTGGGTCTGGTGGATTATATTTGGAAAATTGTCCTCATTTGTTATTTCCTTGTTGCATTGCCACTATTGTTGCATTGATTCACCTCATTTAATTCCAAAAATTTATAGATGGTCCATGATTAATGTGTTTTTTGTTAATAAATCTCTTCTGGGTTGTTGTATGTCCTGTTGTTTTCCCTTTCCTTCCTTGCCATTAATGATCCCAAAAGAAGGCTGCACTCTGAGACTCTGAATCTTAACTCTTACTCTTACACCTACCATCTGTTTGTCAAAACCACCACCTTTTGATTCTTGATTCCTTGTTTCAAGTTTTTTTTTCCACATTTGTTTTCTTAATATCTTCAGTTTCTTTCATTGAAGTGCTCTTTTGATTCTCTTTCATAATGGAAATCTTTTGAGTGTGAAAATTAATGCAAATTGGAGGTGGCAGAAATGGCAAATCTTGTTCCAGGCGTTCTTTTGAAGCTTTTACAGCATATGAACACTGATGTTAAGGTTGCCGGTGAGCATAGGTCGTCTCTATTACAAGTAGTGAGTATAGTTCCTGCATTAGCAGGTGGCGAGTTGTTCTCTAACCAAGGCTTTTACCTCAAGGTTTCAGATTCATCTCATGCTACATATGTGTCATTGCCTGATGAGCATGATGATTTAATTCTTAGTGATAAGATCCAATTAGGTCAGTTCATTCATGTCGAACGGTTGGAATCCGCTTCGCCGATTCCAATTATTCGTGGGGTTCGGCCAGTTCCCGGTCGACACCCTTGCGTAGGGAGCCCTGAGGATATTGTTGCAACTCATTCTCCTGGCTTCCTTAATGGTAAATGTTCATTTGGTTCAAAACTTGGGGAGAAAGTTAAGTTAGGTAGTGGTTATGGTGGGGAGAAAGGGAAACCTGTTGGGACTAGATCAAATGGAGGATTAAAGGATGATCAAATTGATAAGAAAACGAAAACGAATTCTTTGACTCGATCGAATTCTCTATTGAGTAAACCGGCTTTGAGTGTGGATGTGAAGAGGGGTTCTTTAGGGATACTGAAGGCATTAAGTTCGCAATCGATTCCTTCATCCCCGACGAGTTGTTATTCGTTGCCTACTTCTTTTGAGAAGTTTGCCACTGGGATTAAGCATCAGCCTGAAATAAAGGGGCTGAGGAAAGGAAGTCCCAAGGTGGGATCTGTGGAGAAGGCGAACACTCTTCATGGGGCGAATTCGGCCGGAAAACAGGTACCTGTGATTAAAACTCTTGTTCAAGGGACCGAGTTAGGGGCCAAGGCTTTGAGAAAGAGCTGGGAAGGGAATATGGAAGTGAAGGGTAGGGAGCATTCGAATACACCGAGGGCTACCAAGCATGATATCAAGGGAGAATCTGGGAGCTCTTCTGTAAGTTTAAGATTGAAATATGATATAACAGTATCGGTTTTGTTCCTTTGTTGTGCATCGGTTTTTACTGTTTTATACTTGTTCAATTTCCGGACCATATTTCTTGAAGGACATAACTTGCTGTGATTCTTCAGTTCTGCTATTGAGTTCAGGATATGTCATACTTGTGTTACATTTGCCTATTTGTTCACTTGTTAGTTATAGGTACGTCGGGGCTTCCAGTTTGAGCATCGCAGAGCGATTAAAACTATTTTAATGGACATTTGCCTAATAATTGAAATCTCGATGCAGGGTACAAGAAAAAACATATCAAGTGGAAAGTTACCATCCAAGGAGGGGACTAAGCTCCAGACATCTACAAGACCGTTAAAAGAGGAGAGCAAATCTCAGGTGTCAACTAAGAAAGCTGCGGCAAATGGAATGTTGAGTGACCACGAGAAACATCATGTTGGGATGAAACCCGGAGAGCCAACTAATAATGGTGGCTTGGGGAACCTAGTTAAGGTTGCGATAAATAGTAAAAGGTTGACAAATGGAAGTGGTGTTTCATTGGGCTCACTCCCTTCTTCCCTCTCGAGGCTTGGAAAGGTATGCACATGCGACTTTTGGGATCTCTATACATTCCTAGCTTTTATATGCAAGTCTTTGTTAGGATTATTTCGTAAAATGGTTGCATATGCTATTAGAAAATTCGCTTCGAATAAAAACATCAAGCACAGATGTTTTGGATATATACCTATCCGACTCTCACGTCCGTGTAACATAGCCAACGATCATTAATTGGTGCTTAAGGGTCATTGTTTTTAGTCGATAGTTTAGTTTGCTTGTATTGGCTGTTTAATTCCCGTTTCGGGATTGTAAAATATATGGTTGTTTTGGTGATTCCTAATGTCGAATATTCGTTTGTTGTTACAGGAGGTCATGAGACACAGGGATGCAGCTGAAACAGCTGCAATAGAAGCTTTGGAAGAGGCTGCAGCTTCCGATAGCGTACTTAGATGTTTAAGGTACAGATGTTTCAAAACCTGGAAACATCAAATGTATCAGAGTCTGGCATTTGATTCTACTTATCACTTTGTTGAACGCTTTAGTAATTGTAATAATAGCTTGTAAAATCTTACGAGTTACGAATCATAGGTTTCAACTCCGAACACTCTGCATAACTGAACTATCTAGATTGCTATTGTCGATGGAATTTACGAGAGGTCATTTAGCAAATCTTTACATTATACATCCCTTGATCAATTGTTTCTATCCTTGTTTTGGATGTCTTTTATCTAGTTGGACAACTGACTGTTCTTTGCTTTTATGATAAATTTGGTGTATTATTGTCTTGCAGCTTATATTCCAATCTTATGACCTCTGCCAAGGAAGACGACCCTCAGCCTGCAGTGGATCGGTTCTTGACCCTAAACTCAAGCTTGAATAATGCTCGTATGGTTGCAGATTCTTTATCGAGAACTATTCCAGTCGGTTCATCTCCGGAATCAGAAGGAACCCCGCCAGAAGAGGTTGTAAAGGTTGCATCGGATAGACGAAAATATGCAGCTTCATGGGTGCAAGCTGCATTGGTTACCGATATGTCATCTTTCTCTGTATTTACAAAAGAACATAATTCGAAGCCGACTCATGGTTCAGCACCTGCACAAAGCCAGAAGACTATCCCTGCCAACCAAAACATATTAATTCTCGAGAGTTCAGGTAAGAATGGCACCACAAAATCCCAAGGAAAAACCCGTCCGGTAGTTGTTTCGAAGCTTGTAGCACAGGGTGTTATTCGCAAAGCCGGGAACGGTTCAGGCCTTGTTCCCAAGGCTGTCGTCCAACCACTACCGGAAATATGGACAAGGGGAAATGGCCTTGATGAGGCTGTTGACATGGCTGATATGTTGCGAATGGAATCCCAATACTGGTTCTTCGGATTCGTCGAGAAATTCTTAGATGCCGATGTAGACCTGTCTGCTCTATCCAACAGTGGTCAAATAGCCGGGATGTTGACGCAGCTCAAGAGTGTCAATGACTGGTTAGACGAATTTAGTTCAAGTAAAGACGAAGGCGAGACACCCGTGAATGTTTCAACGGAAACGGTCGATAGGCTGAGGAAGAAAATATATGACTATCTTCTTACGCATGTCGAATCTGCCGCCGCCGCTCTAGGTGGCGGATCGCAGCCGTCACCGCCCATCCGAGCAGTTCAAACTAATGCGAGAAAGTGACTCATTGGATCTTCATGAAACACGGTTAGGCACAACAACAAATATCGGAATCTGAATCAGTTACCGATTCATTGATATGTACATAGTACCTACTTCCTACTTGATTTTCGATTCAAAGTTGAGGTATTGGTTGCATGAAATTATACAAATGAAAGCAGTTTGAAAGTGTTCATCCTTACTTGGAAGTGTTGTATTTCATACTTCATTTTATGGACTGGAAAAAAGGGTATTTATACAGCTTAGATCCATTGGCAATGAAATACTGGTTTATTTTAGGGTAAAATACACAAATTGTCCCTCAACTATAGGATACTACTTTATTAATCGGAGGATCATTTTGTAATTTTTAATAGTCGATGAATTTAATAAAATAGTACCTATAATCAAGGGACTACTTGTGTACTTTACCCTAAAATAAACCTGTATGCAAATTGTCATATTGTCGAAGTTATTTTTTTTCCTTGGTATAATCATAGATTAATATGATTATGGCGTAAATTTATTAAAAAGAATTATAATAAAATTTGGATCATAAATTTTAGAATAAATTATATGTTTAGCATCTAAATTATTAATTTTGATTTGTTTTAGTCAGTGTCGAATTCAAAAAAAATTGTAAGTCGGGCCAATATAAACATAATAAAATTTTATCTAAAATAATACATATATATTTTTAATTTTAAAATATAATAATTAGATTACAAAGTATCGTAACGTCGTTGATAGGGATGTCTCAAGATATCGTTTTGATGTTTTGATGTTTCTGCTTTAGTGCTCAAAAGACCTAAAATGACATCTTAGGGACTAAACTCAAATTTTTCAATTATATTTTTTTTCTTCCTTCTCATCTTCACCGGTATCTCCTTTTTCATAATTTTCTTGACAACCAAACAGATATTTAAATCCAATCAAATCAAATCATCGTCCTCACCTTTCAACTTTAATACCCCACTAAAATAAAAGAATGATGATGTTTTTTAAAGCAAAAACTCTAAAGAAGTAAAGGCGAACTTCTATAAAGGGGCCATTTAACATTTTTTTTTTTTGAAGGATTCAATATTCAAAAACAAATGTTTTAAACCCCATTAATGAATTAACAACTAAAAAGCAGAACTAATTAAACTTCGAAAAGAGGAAAACTTTGAAGACAAAAAACAAAAGAACAAGTGGGAATACATTCAAATATGTACAAGTCATCTATATATATACAAAATATATACGTAGAAATGTAAAGAGTGGTTACTGGGGGAGAGAGAGGGAGGGAGTTGAAGTGAGAGAAAGAAAAAAACGCTTAAAAAATAAAATTGATTGATGGGAGAGTTTTAAAGGAGAGTCTGCAGCGTGACACGGACCAGATGCTATGGAAAAGGAGATGCGGTTGAAGGAAAGTAATACGTCAATTTGAATATCTTGAGTATTAAAATGAAAATGTCAAAACTATATCATTTAGATGAGGGTTTCACGTCAGTGACATCACAGTATGTCATTGTCTTGTTAAATCATTAACGATGAAGTGATATAATTACATTTAAATATAAATACTAAGACTATAATTGATAAAATTAAAATGTTAATAATATAAATGAATCGACGATGATATTTAAAGTAGTTAATCTCTAAATAAAACAATCAACGAAACTATTGATATGCACCTCACAAAGGGAAACCCCGACCTCGAGCCTTGGGCCTCCTTAATCGAAACGGTGTCGTTGGGTTTTCTCTCTTATGTATCTCCTTCTGACTTGTTGTATGTATACACACATAATCTTCCGATTCCCTCCCCAAATTTCTCTTCCTTAACCTCGGCCTTCTCTTTTGGAATTCTTTCTAGCTTTTAAGGTGTATTTGGTTGGGGGAATGTGAGATTTCAATGGGAATAAAATTCACATTCCCCCGTTTGGTTGGTCGGGAATGTTATTCCCTGTAATCTTACATTACCAATAGTGAATTTTTTGGGGTATATTATCGGGAATGTCTTACCTCTATTTCCTTATATATTGTTGGATTACCGACGTTTTGGACTAAAATGCCCTTAAAATTAATTTTTTACCTAAAAATATCCTTATTCTGTCATTGAATAATAAAAATTCTACGAAGTTAAATTATAAATTTATCCTTAAACTATTTTATATTTATATAAAAAAAATCTATAATTAAAATTTTATATGAAATTCAATGGTTAAAATAAAATTTTACCCTTTCATTAAACTTCTTTATATTTTCATTTTTTTTAAATATATAAATTTTATGATTTTAATTTTTTAAAGAAAATATATAAATATTTTTCAAATTGTTAAAAAATAAATATATAATAAGAACAATTTGATCAAATATATATTTCAATAATCTTTTATTCCTTTAACCAAACACGGTAATCTTACATTCATGTTAAACCAACAAAACACAAAATACAACATTCTTAGTAATCCTATTCCCCAATAATCTTTTATTCTCACTGGTTCCGTAAACCAAACGAACACTAAGGGTGCGTTTGGTTCACGGAATGTAAGATTATCAGTGGGAATGTAAGATTATCGGGGAATAGGATTACTAAGAATGTTGTATTTTATGTTTGGTAGGTTTAGCAGGAATGTAAGATTACCATGTTTAGTTAAAGTAATAAAAGATTATTATAATGTATATTTGATAAAATTGTCCTTTAATAATTTTTTTTAACAAGTTGAAAAATATTTATATATTTTCTTTAAAAATTTAAATTCATAAAATTTATATAAATTTTTTACAAAATTAAAAATATAAAAAGGTTTAATGAAAGGATAAAATTTTATTTTAACCCCTGAACTTCATATAAAAGTTTAATTATAGATTTTTTTTTGTAAATCTAAAATAGTTTAAGGATACATTTGTAATTTAACATTCGTAGAATTTTTATTATTCAATGACAGAAAAAGAATATTTAAAAAAAATTAAGGGCATTTTAATCCAAAACGTCGGGAATCCAATAATACCTAAGAAAATGAAAGTAATGACATTCCCGCTAATATACCCCAAAAAATCCACTATTGATAATCTTACATTACCGAGAATGAGATTATCGGGCTAATTAAACGGGGAATGTGACATGGGAATCTAACATTCCCCCATCCAAACTCTCCCTAAGGGTGCGTTTGGTTCACAGAATGTAAGATTGCCAGTGTGAATAAAAGATTACCAGAGAATATGATTACTGGGAATGTTGTATTTTGTGTTTGGTTGGTTTAGCAGGAATGTAAGATTACCGTGTTTGATTAAAGGAATAAAAGATTATTGGAATGTATATTTGACCAAATTGTCCTTATTATATATTTGTATAATATTACAAATTGTAAAATATTTATATATTTTCTTTAAAAATTAAATTCATAATATTTATATAATTTTTTTACAAAATTAAAAATATAAAAAATGTTTAATGAAAGGATAATAATTTTTTTTAATTCTTAAACTTCATATAAAATTTTAATTATAGATTTTTTTGTAAATCTAAAATAATTTAAGGATAAATTTATAATTTAATCTTCGTAGAATTTTTATTATTCAATGACAGAAGAATGATATTTTTGAGAAAAAAAATTTAAAGACATATTAGTCCAAAACACTGATAATATTACAATACATATACTTCAAAAAAGAGAAAATCGCCTCAGTGACCAAAAATGCCTTTAACCAACTTTTTTTGGATTTGCCAAAATGACCAATAAAATCGCAACGCGAAATAAAAATCGCAACGCGATCCCCAGAATCGCAAATCAGTTTCCAAAATCGCAACGCGATTCTTAAAAATCGCAATGCGATAGTACAAATTCGCATTGCGATTTTCCAAAATCGCAACGCGAATATGAAAATCGCAACGCGAACACATAAATCGCAACGCGAACACATAAATCGCAACGCGTATCCGTAAATCGCAACGTGTATCCGTAAATCGCAACGCGTATGGGTAAATCGCAATGCGTATCCGTATATCGCAACGCGTATCCGTAAATCGCAACGATAATCCGTAAATCGCAACGAGAATCTGTAAATCGCAACGATAATCCGTAAATCGCAACGAGAATCTGTAAATCACAACACTGAAATTTTGGGTATATAACACTGAAATCATAAACTAAATCCCTAAATCGCAACTCATTCCATCTCCATCTATCACTCTCTCCGGCGACATCCGTTCCTATATCCAACGACATCCTTCCCAATCCGGCAACAGGTTTTAGTTTCGCAGCTCGTCTGTTTAGTAAATTAATTTACAACCATGAAATCATCTAATGTTGATCATGTTTGGATAGATTTGTGTTTTGGAGGGTCATGGGATAATGTTCATGGTGTTTTACAATATATGCCTTTACCCATGATCTTCAACTAAAATTGTCTTTACAAAAGTTAACTTATGAAACTCTAATGCTACGTGTTTCAAATAAATTGAATTTAGAGCCCCTAAGTGGATTTAGGCTATCTTATCAGAGAAATGGTAAAGTTTATTTGTTAACCGACAATGAAGATGTTGAACGATTCATTGCTTACATTAGTGTTTCACAAGATGATGTTACATTGTATGTTGTTGAACCTAGAAGTAGTATTGTTGGGTCAGTAGCGGGTAGTAATCAACTAAGTTTTTCTCAAAACCCACAACCTTTCTCTAATCCAAATCCCAATCAACTTTCAGCACCAAATTCCGGTTTTCGTATTGACCAGTTAGACGATGATGAGCCAACAGAAAAAATTGTGAGTACTAGTCAGTATTCGAAATTTGGTCTTGGTCAATATCCGGACTTTGATATTGGTCAATACACGGATTTTGATGATGTTTCAGAAGAAGAAACAGACCCTGCGTGTAATGATTTTGATATTGGTCAATACCCGAATTTTGATGATGAAACAGCCGTTGCCGAAGAATGTATTGTTGATGATAATGAGGAGGAAGTTACGACTGTGAATTAACATGTTGAACATCCATTCTGTAATTCATATAATCCTGAAGAAGAAAAAGAAGAAGAAAAAGTCCCCGAAGAAAAGAAAATGCCACGGGCGTATAACTGGAATATGCCAGAATTAC